GAGCCAAATCCCACGTTTCCCTGAATGTAACTCACTGAGAGAGGCTGTTGACCACGTCATGGCTGACAGAGACCAGGCCAGTGTGCATGCTGCGATTCCTGCTGCTCCATGCAAGGCACCACTAACCTCTTCTGTGTTGCTCATCCTGAAATTGATGTGCAGTTGGAAATCCTGCCTTCTGCCTTCTTAAACACTGTCCAAGACACCGATGAACCTGTCGCAGACTTAGCCGACCCTGACTTCCAAGCATATGTTGCTCAAGCTTGGGCTACCTACCAAGCAGATAAAGGTAACAAGGGAGCAGTCATTCCCTGCAGAAAGAAAGCCCACTTCGACAGAGTTGAAATCACAGCTTGAGCCGTGGCACATCCTGCCAACCCTCCATGAGTCAACCCACATGCAGCCACTGTCAAAGAGGAAATCATTTTCCCTGGTGTTGTGAGTCAAAGTGAGGTTCAGTGGTGAAAACCAACCAAAACCAACACAAAAGACAATGAAAGTGAGTGGTGGTGTGCCTATGCGGTACCTAGATGGTAGAACCACGGTACACTGGTCCCATGGTCATCCTTCGTTGGACCACTGGGGGTTCATACCTGCTGGCTGAGCTGGATGGCTCCATCTCCAAACTCCGCTTTGCTGCATTCCACTTACTTCCCTACCACCTGCTGTCACACACCAAAGGTGTTTGGTGAGGTGGACATGGATGTAGCTGATGAATGGAGGTGAAGACCATAGCCCTCATGCGAAGAAGGACAGCCAGCAATGTCGGCAGTCATCCCTTGCACAAGAACAAGTTGTCAATGCCAAAGAAAAAGGAGGAGGCAGGTTAAGTGCCAATAAAATTCTTAAGCGCCCATGTATGGCATTCCAGTTTTCAACATATCTCCACCAATTCTGCAGACACCAAAACCATTCCCACACTCGCTTGTAGTGCTCAGCCACGTGATCCTACCTTCCAAGATTGGAAAGGATTTGTGCACTCCACACATTTCTACAGCACTCCCTCCAAAAGATGCTCATTTTGCTAATTCTTCTGATATGGCTGCCTCCACATCAGTCATTTTGCTTGTCCCCTTTGCTAGGGACCATGGCTACATATATCTACCAGGAGTTCCTACCAGCTTCCATCCTGAAGCATCCTGGTACATCCCACCCTCATCTGCCCCCTCTCAGCCCATCCAGCTTGGACAGCGTGTTCTTTTTGTCAGTATGACCTCCAGGAGGACGTTCTTTGGTCGCCTCAGGTCTGTCATTCACTTGGAAAGGTCTTATGTGGTCGTTTCAGTCTCTCCAGTCCAAGAAGCATATGGATCCTTCCTCCCTGCCCCCTGCAATGTCTTCATACCAGTCTTGTCCGTCATTCTTCCAAAATTGCGACAGCTACAGTATAATCTACTGTTCTCCACTCTCCCTGATCGCATCCATGACGAGTATGATGCACATCTTGCCTCCTTGTTGTAAGATACAGCAGAAGACCCTCCCCCTTCATCCTCTCTTCCAACAGAGCCTCATTCATGAAGTTTTTATTTGCTTCACTGAGAGGATGGTTTGGGGGGGAAAGTTGCAATCCCCTATGCTCCTGTCACCCCACAGACCCCCAAAGCTTGACCCCTGTTGACATCTGACTCACCCTGTCTGCTTTTGGATGTACTATATCGGCATCAGATCAGCGCTGCCTCTCTGTCATCCCACTTTGGCCTAGAAGTGATCTCTTCGAGATGTGACATGCACAGCCTCCCCCTAATGCAATTCCAGTGTGCTTTCCCAGTCCCTGACATTACTTGACTCATACTTTGACATTCTGACTGTCTTTGACTCACCTATTGCCAATACTTACCAATCTTTTGACTTTGCTTACCGATTCTTCGCTTTTTGGCTTACTTATCCTTACCAATGCTTACCAATGCTTTCCAAGATGATTACCCATTGCTTACATTCCTTACTCATCAGTTACCAATCACTTACCAAGTGTTTGCACCTTGTTTTCCATAGGCAACGCCCCTGTACTGTATATAAGTCACTGTACTTAGGTAGCAAAAAAAAAAAAGAAGACATCAGAGAGCCCCTCTTGTTCGCAATTTATCATCTCTCAGTAAATCATTCATCAGCTTCAATAGTTGAGACTTTATTAAGGGTCTAGCTATCATCTACTTTGCTTATCATCATCTATCATCCATATACTTCACTCCAAGCCCTCCCTGAGCTCGGTACAGCTTAGGACATCGAATTAAGTCACCATCCATCCTTCTGTAGGCTGACAGCAGTCTACCCTATCGCTTTCTATCACATTCTTGCTCCCTCTTCGTCAGGAGCACCCCCAACCCTCAGCACTCATCTTTGAGTGTTGTAGCTTGCAAAAACCCTCCCAAAGAACAGGTTCTACCATCTAGGTACCACATAGGCACACCACCACTTGCTTTCATTGTCTTTTGTGTTGGTTTTGGTTGGTTTTCACCACTGAACCTCACTTTGACTCACATCGGGCCCGTCAGTAATATCATTGACAGTGTCACAACACATAGATGGGCCCATCAGTAATGTCATTTATAGCATCACAACATATGGACAGGCCCTTCCAAAATACCATTTATACCATCACAACACATGGGCAGGCCTGTCCATAGTAAGATGTACCTGTCAAAACATAAAGACAGGCCCTTCAATATATATCATTTACAGGGTCACAACACATGGACAGGCCCATCTAGTAAGATGCACCCATGTCACAACATAAAGATGGGCCTTTCAGCAATATCAATTACATGGTCACAACACATGGGTGGGCCTGTCAATAGCAACATGTATGCCTGTTGCAACATAAAGACAGGCCTGTCAGTAATATCATTTACAGTGTCACAACACATAGATGGGCCCATCAATAGCAACATGTATGCCTGTCACAACATAAAGACAGGCCCGTCAGTAATATCATTTACAGTGTCACAGCACATAGATGGGCCCATCCAGTAAGATGCACCCCTGTCACAACATAAAGATGGGCCCATCAGTAATATCATTTATAGCATCACAACATATGGAAGGGCCCTTCAGCAGTATCATTTATGCAGTCACAACATAAGGACAGGCCCTTCAGCAGTATTATTTATATGGTCATAACTTATGGGCAGGCCCTTCAGTAATATCTTTTATATCACCATAAAACAAGGATGGGTCTGTCTAGTAAGATCCACCCCTGTCACAACATAAGATGGGCCCAACACCAATAGCATGTATAGCGTCACAACATATTGATTGGATCACAGCAAAATATTGAGGCAAGCATCCTGACATGCTGTAATTTTCCAACAAGCTGCAAGCAGCTTGCCCACTATACAACTCTGACCTCATCCACCCCAAGCATGAATACTATGCAAGACATGTCTAAAACCCCCCATGGATGGCAAATGGAACTAACAGACTGCATTGTGTCATACATGAAAGCCAGATTTCAAGAGGAGGTATTCAGCAGACCTCACACCCTTCCAGATATATTGATTTCATTTCCAGTGTTATGTGAAGCAGATCACATATTGTCAGTAATCTCACAGGCCTATCGTCACTCAAGTAAGTCCATCATAATGGTGCAATGGAAGTTTTCATCTTTCTGCAGTCAACATCAGGAAAAATCAGGGTGGAAAAACCTGCAATGCAGAAGTTGCTGAGAGATACATGGAAGTGACTGAGCCATCCATTCTGGTGACTGACTCAAACGCCATCTGTGTTTGGTATTTGCCAGATGCTCTCAGCCCAAAAAGAAGGGTAAGGGAATGCAGAATCTCATATTCTACTGACTTAATGCAATGGCAGGCCAATGTATGGAACCACCTTCATCTTCTGAAGGAACCACTGCAGGAGAGCATAAAGGCTTCCCCACAGGCATGGTGGATGGACAAGTCATATTTCTGTGATAATGCTGAGTTGAAAGGTGCCATCAACCTGTCACCTGCATGGTTTCAACAGGGTCATGGGGTGGGTGATCATTTCTTTCCTTGTGAATAAAGTGCTCATCTGTCTTGAAGCCCCAAAATGGCTTCCTGGAAGCCTCATGGCTGCTCAAATCCAGGACAGAAAGGACTTCTACAAGGGAATGGGTCAACCAAATGTCCAACACCAATGCCCTGTTATCTGCAATCCTGCATGTCATCCATCCATGAATGTATGCAGATGGCAGGGAAGCGTTGATACACCTTGGCAAACAGGTGGAACAGTGGGCAGATTTGGATATGAGCTCCATACTGCCAATATGGAGCTCCACATATAGCAGGATGTCCATGATGGTGAATTGGGCAACTTGTTACCACAGGGATATCAATGGACAGGATCCATGGTATGATATGCTGGTAACCATGGGTGACTACCCACCCTTGGACTTTGTCATTCCAATGTTGAATCTGTGGCTGTGCTACAACCCAGGGACAATCATTGCATTTTCAGGTTCAGCATTGGAACATGGGGTGGGAGCTGTAGACAGTGACAGAGCATGCCTGGCATACTACATGCATGCCAATGTACATCAGTTGGTGCATGTTCTCATGTGTCAATCACTGTGGATGGACAACCTACTACCCAGACCAGTTGCAACTGGACAACTGTTGATTTGAAGCTGCAAAATTTAATGTAAGATTTAGTAGGCGATGCAGATCTTGTATTTTATTAGGATATGCTGGCTCTTGAACTTTGGACAGGTGGTGTTGCCAAGATTTTGCAAATGGGTGGGTGCTTCAACATCATAGATTGGGTGGGTACTCAGAGCTAAAGGGTGTGCATCATAAACTGCAAAAAAAATAAACCTACTCAGGCCATCATGCAGATGGGCAGATTGTTGGACATCGCATGGATGGGTTCAGACATCATGAGAATGGGTGGCATCTCATAAATGATCAACATTCACTGCAATGTATATTCAACCAACTCCACAGTCAAAAACATGTAAACTATTGAAGTGGCATGCTCAACAACCCACACAATGCCCACCACCTAGTGTAGAAATGGTCAATTTGTCAACCCCAACCATTGACAACATCAGCATATTTCTGAATATTTTCGATGCAGTAGTTTACCTGCTCCTTGATATGGCCATCGAGACAGTCTGCAATTGGCACCTCAGGCAATGGCCATAAGCCCTGGGCCATCATCAACTATTTGCAGTGACAAGAATAAGCAGCATACCTTAAAAAAATCCCAGGCCATGGAAAACAATCCCTTGCCTTGCAATCTTTGGGAATCCACTGCATATTCCTTGGAATGATATAGCCACCAAGGGAATGCAAAGCCAGAATTGGGATCAGCTGCATGTGGGGTCCAATGTGAGACAATGGCGTTGATATTGTCAATTATGCTAAATGCACTAAGGGGAATTAGCTGCATTTGATTGCAGAAGCTAACCTCATCATCTTGGTGTCTGAGGTACACATGGTAGCATGCCAGGAGGGGAGGAGTATAACTGGCATGCAACACCATCACCAGAATCAAGCTATTAAGCTGATTCTGAAGGAATTATATATCAGTCCCACATTGTGAAAAATTGATGTAAAACCTACCAAGTCCATTGCTAGGTTTGCAAACCAATGCACAGGCCATCCCACAATATTGGCAGTCTGCTTCAGATGTACAGAGGCCACCTTGATCCAGCACACCAAGTAGAGGATACCCATCTCTACCACAGACTGGCAAGATGGGCGTGATTGGTTGGTGATGAATGGCTTGGGACAATTTTCAAAGGCAGAATGTGGATAATGAACAACTTCCATCAAATCAAGCATATTGACAAGTCAAAGGCCCTGAGAGGCTGCACCATACTGGTCCCTTGCAGCTGTGCCCAATTCTCTTGCAATGGCATTCACAGCCTGCACAAGGTGCCTATTGAGGGTGGGATCAAACAGCATGTCACTGGGAGTGGTGTTTCCATGATAGTGAGATACTGTGGCATGTAAGGTGTGCAGGACTAAAATTATCAATGTCAAAGGTGTATCAGATTAAGCTCATGCCCATACCTTGATTGCAATGTGGAACAGGTGCCAATCCCCATTGTTCCATTTGAAGAGATTGCTGTGTGGATGGAAGTTCACCTACATAATCAATGGATATCACTGATCACATGAATAGAACCAAATAAATGCTCACCATTGCATATTTCCTCAAAAAGATCCCTCATCTCTGATTGTTCAGGCATGCCAAAAGTCAAATGGTTTGCACCATTGTCCTCATCTGCTGCCAAGTCAAAAGATTTGACAGGTACATTTGAAACAAGTGGGGGAGGCATTGGTTCCCTCATATCCTGCAATTGAGCAAGCAGGTTAGTTGGAGAATCAGGTCAAGGAGATTGGTCCCTCAGATTTGATGATTTGTGGGTGATGGGCAGAGGAGATGGTTCCCACACATTCTGCAAGTCTGCCAGAAAATCAACCTGCATAGTAATGTCTTGTGTAGGTGTTGAAGACCCATCCATCCTGTTTAATTTCTTGTGCATGACTGGCAGTGCCGATGGTTCCCACACATTCAGCAATTGCTTGAGTAGATCCATGTTCATACCATCTGCTGGGGGAGCAGTTGGTTCCTGTTCATTCAGGAACCGATTCATCAAGTTGTTGTGTGGATCTATTACTAGAAAATTAGTTTGTTTGTTAGCTTGAAGGGCAATTGTGCCAACTCACTGGCTGCAATTCTGCCCTCTGCCAGAGCAGTTGGCTCCCTTTCCTGCAGGAACTGATCCACCAAGCTTTCACATGAATCTATAGCAAAAGAATGTTTGTTGTTTAGCTTGGAGAGAAATCATGTTCACTCACTGGCTGTGATATCCATGTTCGACCCTGCCATATCCACCCTTCCACTTGAGACAATTGGTGGAGGGGTTGGCTTTTGCAACTCATGCAGTTGTACTAGTGTCTCCTCCAGATTTTTGGACTGCTTCACATGGGAGCTAGATTGCCTTGGCTCAATTGGTCTTACATTAGCTATGGATGGCTTAGGTTGCTGGATCCAACAATGAAGACAACCTCACCTTGACAATGGAAATGAACTTTGTGGGACTGTTCAGCAGACATATTTGATGATGATGGGTTCACTGATAGGTCAATGATCAATCAAGATTTAAACTTGTAGGAACAATGGCAAGAATATCATTCACACTGTGGGAAGCAAGGTTGGACAATGGCAGACAGAGCCAAATTTTGGGTAACAGCAATACATGGGAGATGAGCAGAAATATCTCCCTACATAGATAGCTACCAGTCACTTCCACATGGCCAATACATAGACCTGTCCTGCTCAGCTCTCTGCTCAATTGTTGTGCTCAACCATCCCACTTAACTATCCCTCTCTCTGATATCAAAGATGCCTCTCACAACCACCATGGTGTCATGAGCTACCATACATGCCATACACTTGTATTCTAATGTGTCACACTAGGCTAAGCCCTCTATAGACCATACATGAGTTCCAAAAAAGGTTTCCACTCTGACTGTTTGAGGGATTCGACAACTACTTCCACTTCTGATTGCTGCCTGTTTGCTTGTGTGATCTCTTTGCATCAGGGGATGGAACATCTGCATCTGGCCTTGCAGGGGCCTTTCTGACACAAGGTGACTTCCAGGTGCCCCCAGGGATGCCCTGTTTCACATTTGCAGATGCTGCATTGGTGGTCACAGATCCATTATGTTTGGACTTGGACAAGTATTTGGCCCCAGGTTGATGTCGATTCACGTCTGGCTCACTAGATTCTGACAGAGCCTGCTTAATATACAGCACAAACTTGTTAGCCATAACAGCTGATTCAACATGACCAAACTTGCCTGGTGTGTGCGCTTCAGGGCAGATTTCAGCTTTCCACCATTTTTTCTGCTTGTTGACCCCTCCTCAGTTGGGTGGTCAGTGAAAGGAATGCTCTCCAATCCATCTTCATCTGTGTATTCTGAGTGGTCCTGTAGTTCAGTTGTGTACTCATTCCCTGAGTGCAGATCAGGGTTTGCTGCAAATACAAGTTACAGTGGAAAGCTCACTATTCAAGGATGTTGCTGTTTTCTTTGAATTGGATAGGGTGGGCAAATAAGTGTCTTCATCAGCTTCATCATCGGAAGCATGGCCATTGCTTTCCTGCCCATTATAGTCAGTTAGCACTTTATTTTGTGGACGATGCACTGGGGTCTTTGCATGGGCTGGAGGTGCAGAGAGCCATTCACTATGGGAACCATCAGCTGGTGGGGGATTTGAGTGGGAATGAGAAGGGAATGGTGTCTTGGCACAGTTTTGCCTCCTGCCAGATACCTGAAGACAAGAATTGCATTAGCACTGATCTGTTGTGCATGAAAATCACACATGGCACACCTTTTTAGCAGAGGGACCATCTGTTCCAACATTGCTCACCTCAGCCTTGCTGTGGTCATCCAAACTGTCATCTGTGCTGTTGTCCATGCTATCATCCACACTATCATATGCCACTCCCTCTTCCTGCACTTTACCCTTGCCCTTGACATTTTTCCTTCTGGGATTCTTTTTGCATTTGGGGGCAGGTGTCTTTTGGTATTTCCACTGCCTCACAACCTGGAGGGGTGCCAAAGTTCTATCCACTGGTGGCTGCAGCTTGCCAGATTGATTGATCCATTTCTGAAATCCAAACACATCATTTGGATGGGATTCCTGTCACTTGCACCAAAAGGACAGTGGCTGGGTAGCTGTTGTCATCCACATGTGACTTGGGTTGCAGTTGAAGGTAAATCCTTCAGGAAGATGGCAGGCTGCTATCATTTCCACTTGATGATGACCAAAATTCTTGAATGGCACTGCTGACAAGGGATTTCTGCATGCTAATCCTGATAGCACTCATCAGAGATTGAGGACACTAAATACTCTGGCCACTCACAGTAGTGAGCAGTCACAAATCTGCGAACCATTTTTTGAAGTTGGTCCTGGCTAAGGCCTGCGATTTCTCCTATCCAAATCTCTCCATTGGCATTTTTCACCAATTTCACAGAGTCAACCTTGCCAGTCCTTGTTGCTTTGGCCACTGTCTTTTTCTGAGCATGTTCAGGACTTGACTCACCATCATGCTTGGGTGGTGTTCCTGGTTCCTCAAATGTCTCCCCAAGGTACTCTTGCCAGCTTCCTTCCAGTGTGCAGACATCATTGAAGGGGATCCCATCTGTGATTTCATTATTGAAGTCCATACTGTCATTGCATGAGTCTTACCTAGGCCTAGAGGAGAATATGGTGGACTCATGTGCATGCCTGTATAGTTCCCTCCTCATTTTTCCACCCAGCCATACACACTATGCACATTCTGCAATACCTCCACATCTCCATCACAGAGTTTCAGACATACTTGTACCCATACTTGGCTGCATTCCTGGGAACCAGGATAAATTGAAGACTGGGAAGTTGACCTCATACAATCACACCTTACTTTTGTCTCTGGCATGGGGCCTTCCCACCCATTCCACCTTTCTGCTATATCTTCAGCTGCAGCCAATTGTTCCTCTGTCAGGTCATCCTGAATAAAAGCCATCAATGCATTCTGATACTGTTGGATCTGCTTGCTTCCATGGGTATTGCCTTCTTCTACTTTCATTTTTGCAAGCTTCTCCTGTATTTGCTCTTGGTACAATTTGTGGACCACTGCCTGCACAGAGTATTTTTAACTGGATCTAAGGGTAATGCAGGGCTTTTTCAACCAATCTTGTATTAGCTACAAGGGTGCTTTGAACTGTGAGTATCTGAATCAGAACTTTTAGAGCATACCTTGCACTTCATCTGGACTTTGCTCCCTCTCAACTCCTTGTTCCTGTCCAATCGCTGCATCTCCTCCCATATGGATAGCAGAACTGCAGGCTTCTTCTTCTTCCCTGCTTGCCTCCATTCCTGGCATTGGTGCCCAAGGATCTCCAACTCTTCCACTTCAAACCTTTCTTCCTCCCTTTCCCCCACATCTGATGGTTCTATGTCTTGCTCACCATCAGCATCATCTCTTTCTGTCTGATCCCAGGCATCTGATTCATACTGTATTGTACCCATGAAATTTCACCCTATTTCTATACCAAATCTCAAGCTTTGACTGGTTGGTGGGTGGTATACACAGCCCTTATGGGGCATATATACTTGCAATTGCAATGACGCTATGTTATTGTGTGCTGCATGGCTGCAAGCTTCAGGCCTTGTGACCCCAGCTAATGAGATATGGAGTCAATATGAAAAATACATTGACATGGCCAGTAATGTTTATGGGACTTTCCTTTTATGGATTGTGCTATGTTGTGTTGTGTGGTGCAATACATACATGGCCACCCTGTAGACACAATCAGGATTGCATTGACAGTGACACAAGCCTGACACCTAGAAAATTGTGACCAGACACTTCAACATACAGATTGTGTTTGACAGATATTGATGACAGATGTGCCTGCTCCAAATGTTATATGAGGCTGACACAATTTCCAGAGCTGTCAATTTGGGCTGCCCATCATGCTCCTGATTTCACCTGATCACAGTATGCTCATTCACCCTGCACATAAAAAATGCATAGCTTGCATGTATACATAAATCAATGCATAGGTTAACATAGAAATGGTAAAGCATAGATAATGGCCCATTAATACTAGAAATTCTTGCTCAGCAGATCCTCATTACTGTCCTTGGCATGCAAACCCTCTGAGCAATGACCACAGGCAGGTTGCAGTGATGTGTTGGTCATGGAGGATTGCCTAATGACAGATGGCTGGGTTATATGAGATGTGCTGTGATTTCCAGGAGTAGGCAGTGCATGAGGAGCAGAAGAAACAGTAGCTGGTGATTCTGTGTACATGCTGGGGAGAGGCAGTAGGATGGATCCAATGTTCTTGCCATACAGTTCTTGATCCTGAGTGACAATCAAGTTGAAAAACCTACAAGTATATAAATATCAGTCACCAATAACAAGCTTGAGCTACTTACTCACACCATTTATTGTTCTTCATGTCCTTTCCAAGCCAGTCAAGATCCTTTGAAAACATGTGGTCGATTATGCTCCAGAAGTTGTAACCTGTTTTGACTCTGCCAGGGGGGGCCTTGTTACTTACTGTCCTGACACATTTCGCAGGTGGTTCATTCATGGACCCTTTGGCACTTGCTTGTGCAGCCCCTTCACCACCACTCTCCAAGTCACTATCATTGCTCACAGTTCTCCCCACAACATATTGATGGGCCCTCCCATAATAACACTGCAAGCTTGGTCAATCAGTAAAGGTTGAGAGAAGAGTCTTGTGTGATGTACCAGGAAGGCAAAGTGTAGCTGACACTTGGCCTTCAAACCTGAACCTACACCACCATGTTTGGATTTGCTGAGTACTGGCCATGTAAGTTCTTCCAGCATCATGTGCATCTTCCCTTCCTCCTGGCTGGTACTGTCCAGAAGCTGTGTAGGCAGTCAATAGAAAACATGATGTGTTTTCATCATGATGGAGCATCCACCAGTGTGCAGAACTTGTTTCGAACAGCACTGCACTCCTTTTTGATGGCTGCACAAAGCACACATTCATTTGCAGGGTTGTTGAATACACTCAGAAATCCTAACAAATTGGCATGTGATCTGAGTCATTCCTGTGCATACATGTAAGTGGTTTGTAAGAGATGGCATGTGCTGGGATGTGCCTCAATGTCAACATGAAGGGTCTTGTACTTGGTTTGGCCTGCTTGCATGAGCATATCTTTGCATACAATCAAAATCTGCATCTGGTGTTGCTATTCAGCATGCACTATAATGAAATCAGTAAACAACAAACTGTCTGGTCAACATTAAGTTGGAACCCACTTCAGAGCCCTGCAGTGGCCATCTCCACAGCATTCTTCATATTTGCTGAGTCGATCTTGATCTCCTCAATCCCATTTAACACCCTGTAGTTGGTCACCTGCTGCCAGATTCACAAGTGAAGGTCACCAGTCTGCAAGGTCTTGCCAACCTGGGCATGCAGACAAATATCAGTATGAACATTAATCATCAAATGCAGCACTTACATCAATGAGCATGCTGAGCTCTAAGAACTGAGATGCCTTGAGTTCAAACTTGGTTGCAACTTTCTGTGCCCACAGCTTCAGCCACTTGACCTCCAGAAGCTCAATTCCTCTGTCAACATTGTCAGACATGGAGGACATGTGTGTGTGAGCAGGGGTTGTCAGAGCATCCCTGACACCACTGCCATATGAAAACTGGCTTTGGAACTTGTCATCAGATGCCCTTGACATTGGATGCAACACATCAGAACCTGGAAGACCAGGCAACACATGAGATGCATCAGGAGTTATCACATGTGTTGCATTCAAGACATTGGGAGTCACCTGAGACATGTCAGTCACATGCAATGTAGTCACCTGTGAAAGGCATGGTGTTCCTTGACATGCAGGTTGAATCTTCTATCTCGACTGATTACATGAAGCTTACCTGTCATGCTCTGATGTGACCTGAGCTCTGGTGTTGGGAAGCTTTTTCCCAGATCTTCAAAGGCAACATAGTGGCCATATTGATTGTGCTGCTATGACATGGACTGATCTGTATGAGAACTTGATTGTGAGGGTTAGAAAAAAAAGAAGGGGGATGACTTGTCTTATATGAGGTCCAGGTATTGGGGCTGACCAAACAGTGTCATCTGTTAAAAAAATTGCACTGTCAACAATTTCTGAGAGGTTGATTGACACTCACCATGCAACATTGAGTCATATGTAATGCATGGTCATGAGGAATCTGCATCTCACAGTCAAATGTGTGGATTGACCAGTGAAGATGTATGGACTTACCAGTCTGATGGAACACATTGATAAAGTGTGTTGGTACTGCCTGGGACATGCTTCTAGGAGGTTGTTTTGTAGCATTGGCTCACAAGGTTTTCAGTATCTTGATTTTCTGTGCATTGAACTCAGCAGCTGCACCAGTGTGGATTGCCCAATCATGATCCAACTGTTGTACCAGAGTGTGGAACCATTGCACATGAGAGGCATCACACATCTGTGCAGTGTTCAGTATAAGGTCCAAGGGTTCACAGTGCTCAATCCATTTCACAGTCTTTGTCATTTTCTCATGTTCTTCATAGACTGATACTGTAGATGAACCAGTGCATCTGTGTCCTGCACAATTGTGCTGGACATTGACACAACAGATAACAGCCTGGAATGAAGTGCAATCAGAACAAAGTCCATACAAAAAAACAGTTCACTTACTGTCACTGGTAACATGACCCAACATAGTGGCTGAATGCATTGCAGGTGATAGATATCTGCAGAGCCAGTCACTTTGAATGTCTTGAGCAATAGCCAGTTCGCTTGATTGCACTGTTGGGCTGGTGAGTGACAAATCTGAAGAATTTCATGAAGAGATCCAATGAGGGGGAGTTTGTGGCCAGCAGCATGAGGCTCTCATGTGAGGACAAAGTCTCCAAGGTGGCATATTTCACTGTTTGTTGCAACAAAGGAGTGACAAGTTTGATAAAGATGATGTTTGACCCAAGGCAGTGCATATGGGACCCATAATGCCATATTTGTCTTCTCAAGTGGCCATGGATGTGTCTTGTCATGCATGCATGAACCTGGCATGCAAATGATATCACTAAGTTTGTGTATTCCACAGAAGCATGATTGACTCACCAGCTTCAAGAGGATCTCTATTGTCTGTGAGCCTGAAGTAATCTGCAATGACATTGCAGAACATTGGGATGTCAAGGCTGGTCAGTGACTTGACCCCAGAGCCAGGCACCAGCCACTCATGCTCATTATCACTGTAGGGGAGTTCAGTGAGTCCTCAAGCATGGAATTTACCACTGGACAAAGATGGCAGACATGATTACATCATGCCATTCCACAGGCAATGTCTTGGGAAGGTGCTTGTCTGTTGCTGTGAATACTGTGGTCATGGATCATGGCATTGTAAGATTCAAACCCTTCTGTAGCAAATAGGATTGCAGGACTGAAACACTGGATGTGGTCAGGGAGGTGCTGAAGAATGTGAAACTTTGGCTTATTGAACCATCATGGTGTCCAGTGGGCCATGCAGTTGAGGAAGTGGTCAATCACAGCATGCAAGTTGGCCTAAAAGTACATTAGTTGTGCTTGGTCTTAGCAAAAAGTTGATGTACAACATACCAGGTGCCTGTTGATGTTGTCAATGCATGGTTGCCAAACAAGGGGGACCAGAGATGATAGTGCCAGAAATGCTTTGTAGCACTCATGCAGAACAAGGTCATAGAGTACAAAGGGTGTTGCTTGGCATATGGCATGGAAATCACATCCAGTGAGAGACCCAGCATATTGAATGAATGTTTGGGCTGCCAATGGAGGGATGCCAAGTCCTGAGGTATTGAATGATGCCAATTGAACCTGGAGCTCTGCTTTTTGATCATCATTCATCCTGGAGATGGCATCACACCAGAAATACTTCATGAATCTGAGTAAGATGAGATGCAGGACTTCCACAGGGGTGTCTTGATGGGGATCAAGGCCTGAAGTTGAGTAAGTGAGTGATGAAACAATGAGACTGATGCAGAGGATTCTTACCTTTGATCCTCCAAACAGGACTAATGAATTCTTCCACTGAACAGCCTTGCATAATTGCATTGACAGCCTCAGTAAATCCATCTGTTCCCACACAAATGCCTTTGACATGCTTGAGGATCCACTCGATGAACATGTCCATGTATGTATCTTTAATGCCCATGTCAGTCTTCATTTTCACATATCATGTCTTGCCCATGCCACTGGTGACTTCATGGAACATGCTATGGAGTTTCTCCACCATGTGTTGCCAGGTGCGAGGTGTGTTGGCCTTGAGCATGTTGAGACATCAGTATACCTTAATCTAACAAATTGTATACTTACTCCAAAGAAATGCCTTGCTCAATCAACAAGACCTTGCATTGTCTCCAAGTGGTGGCCCTTGCCTTTCAGCTGTTGTGTGACACCCCCATGAGTGGACCTGTCCAAGTCAGTCATGTGTGATGCAGTTTCAATGGAACAAGTGTTGTCATCTGGTTGCAGTGCCTGTGGGTGTTCACTTGATTCTGCCCCTACCCCTTGCACCCAGCAATTGTGACAAAAAAATTTACCCTGCAGACCAACATGGCATGCAAGTTTGCTCTGCATTGGATTGTCACCAAGCATCACCAGGACAGCAGGGATCATGAGAACCATCTCCCTTGCTTCTATGTCCCAAGCCCAAATGCCATGCATTTGTGCATGTCTGTAGCACAATGTTGTGAAAGCCTGACATGGTCAGAAGGGTTGAAATAAAACTTACTCAAGTTGGGCCACAATACCATCAAGCATTTCTAGGGGGGGAGCAATGTTAGACATAGTGAGGAAATGGATGTTGCTCTCTTTGTGGACCAGAGAATGTGGGAGACCAGCTGCAGTGAAGAGAAACAAGTTGTGCTTGTTCCACTTCTTTGACATATTGCTGGAGGTGTTGTCACAATAAAGCCATATCATGTAACTGAGGACATGGTGCCCCTTCACATGCATGTGCCATATATTCCCAACCACAGGATCAGTCAATGTCCATGGGAGGACACCATGTCCTCTCGTCTCTATCAAACCTAATGCATGCTGAGTCTGAAATGAATAGAGGGGAAGGATGGGTACCATACACACCTATGATATTGCACATGTCAGGTTGACCATTGATCTGATGCATTTGAAGCAGGTGTGGAAATGAGAGGAGAAGACTGCTCACTGGCACCTTGATGGTATCATATGTGTGGATAACATATCCACACATGTGACCATTCATGATGGGGTGAGCTTGCCATGTGCAGGCCCAATACTCAAGCTCAAAGGGAGGAGAAGTTAGTAATGCAGAGGGTTTTGTATACCAGTGCTTGGGAATGACCATTGTGCCATCCATCAACTTTGCCAGCTCAAACACATAAAAATCTTGATGGCCTTTGTGAATCATGGGTGTGGCAACAGTGGGATCAATCTCATACAGCCACCTTGTCGCTTGCCACAGCTGGTCAAGTCACCCCCCAGCATCTTCAGGGTAATGGTGGATATGTGGGCAGATGTGCAGGTTCACCATTTCCTGCAAGGGTGCACTGTTATTGGTTAACAAATCACAAGCTAAAAAATGAACTTGTGTGATGATAGAAGGCAGGTGGTTGACATAATAGATATGGCTGAGTACACCTTGATAATGGACTGATGGAATCCTGTATTGGGCCTGGAGGGAATTGTCAATATCTTTGAGTGTCTTTGTGGAGGGAACATTATCAACTCTGAGGATTGCAAGTCTCCAGAGGATGACCTGAAGTTGCACATCTGAAAATAACAAATGCAGGAGGTGCTGTAGAATATCAAGTATGCATGTCTGTCAATTGAGTGAAATGATGCTCTCATTATATATGAAACGACATACCTGTTTATTGGGCCACAGGAACCATGCAGGATTTGCAGGTGCAGCATCACCTGCATGCTGAGACGAGCATGTCATGCCTGGCTGAAGCAGCTCTGTGGAAGGATCAGTGCATTCAATAACCTGTGACAAGCGTATATTGCTTCTTACCTGGACAATATTCTTTGCCTTCGACATCAGGGGAGTTGGACACATCTTCATCAGAGGAGATTGCATCATCACCATCAGCCAACCATGCAGCCAAGCTGCTGGCCATCATTGTTAGTTGCTGTGCAGATGGTAAATAGAGCTGTTCATGGTCAATGGCATCCCAGTCAAGTTGAAAACTACCATCGTTATTAGAGGGAGTAGCCACCCATGGCACACCATGAGGAGGGGATCCTGATTCCAAGAAATCTGCTAAAAGGTTAAGCAGGGGCAAGGTCAGGTCAGGTCAGGGTGGGGAACTCAAAGGGCAAAGATGAGTGGATAGAAGGTGGCCAACGTTCTCTTGATGGAGAGTGGTTTTCTCATGTTGTCAAGCAGAACAGACATCTTGCCACTTGTTGTCCTTGCAGGTGAGGCATGACCACTTGTACTGGTTGTGACCAACACCTGTTGCCCAGACTGTTTACATCATTTGTGGAGTCAATGCATTGGCAATGCCGATGCAATGTGGAGGCTGAGGCTTAGATGTAGTAACCTGAAGTAATCCAGAGTTATGGGTGGGACTTACACTTGGGATGTGCAAACTCTTTGGTCATTGCTATAATACAACAGGGAGAGTTGAACTTTGCAAAAAAAAAAGTACATTAAGCACTGCTTCCAAATGTCAAGATGCATTTCATTTGCATCCACTACAGTTTCAAAAAAAAAAGTTTTTAAGATTGTGTCTAGCCCAAACCATAGTGAAAATGCTATCCAACCTAATCAGGACTGTGTCAAACTCATGTTTCATGTGATGCAGTTCTGCCTATTTCTCAGACTCAGTTTGTTTGTGTCACAAGAGTGGCCATGTAGCATTGTCACATGTGCCATATGGTACAACCATAGTAAAGGAGCACCCACATCTGGGAAACAGCTATGTGACACAGCTGTTAACAGCTCTTTCACACTTGAGTGAGCCTTCTCATTGGCCAACAAGTGTCTTAGCAAGTCTTATGACAAGTTACTTCCAAATGGAGGCAGGTATAACCTGCTCACTCCCTCAGGTAGTTTTCAAGTTGCAGATGCAGTATGATGATACAGAAAAACATCATCTGCAGACTAAAGAGTTGTGCCCCCATGCTGTACCTCCATAAAAATTTTGTAGATGTCATTGCATTCATCTCATTTTACTGCAGAATTCCAAGTTGGTATGACCACATCATACTTCCCTTAAGTGTTCCTGTTATGAGAACAGAGCTGTGTATGTAGGTTACTTCCCCTTGGTGAACCATATTCATCTCAGGCTCCAACCCCAATGGGTGACAAGAATAAATCAATTGAATCTACATTGTATATGTATTGCAGTTGATCACCCAGTGTTGACTTGGACTCAGATCAACATGGATGCTCACAGAGTCCCTCTCATTCCTGTTATGATCTATGAAGGTCTGCTTGACATGCCAGAAGGCACCTATGGCTTATTATATGATATCTACACCCACAACACTATAGATGACTTGCCAGCTGGGTGAAACTCATACACATGTAAGTTCAGTTCAGTTCACTATATAAGCCTTATCATGACAAATCATACTGATCAAGTTATAGTGGCCACATATTGTGAATTGGCTGTGCAATTAGAGGATGCTGGTTTTGAGCACCTCCAGTACTCCAATTGGGTCTGTGATAACATAGATGCTGTGGGTGCATACTGGACAATGCTGTCTTTAATGGGGATCCACCCCCAGGCAAATTCCAAAGTATGGTGAAGAGTGTCAAGATTCACTATATCTCTGATTGGGAGTTCAATGCAACTTGGGGGATTCAATTGGGTGGAGGCTATTCTCACATGTTACAGGGGATGACTCCAGTGGGCCTAGTGCCACCTGAAGTTCCAGCAGCTGTACCTCTGCATATGCCACAGAGGCTTCCACAGTTTACCAAGCAATCTGAAGAGGCCATGAACATGAATAATTGGAGGGTCTAGTCAGGCTGGTACATCACACAGTGCAACTATATCTACGATACTTGCTTATACATGACCACCATGCCAATCATATGTCTCTTTCTCTTTCTAGGTCAAGCAGGTACAACATATGGGGGTAATGGTTCATGATTGTCAACAACAGATAATGCCTCGGAATGTAGTTACTGTTTCCCTTTTCTTTCTTTTTCTTTATGCCTCCTGTTTTAGCTACTTGTTTGTCTCCTGCTGCACTCTGAACATATATAAGTCATACATACTGATGTATTCCCCAGTCGACCTCAAACAAAGATCTTTCAACCAGTTCTTCCTGAGTGACCATAAGAACAACTCTTAGGCTATGAGAATGGGCAGACTACCCCCATGTGACCAAAGTGAACTCACTTTCAGCTGTATCAGCTGATTTTGACCAAATGACCATGGTAATTACCAGAAAAGCAGTTACAGAATTCATGGCAACTACCACTTCCCAATATAGACAATGCCCCCTGAGTGACAACCTCTGTCAGTGCTTGAAAAAAATTCAGATTGGAATGTTCCCATGGCAGGTTACCCTGTCACAAATATTGATAATTTGCATCTGTACTGTGGTTATACAGATGAGCATGTGACCAGTAGATGTGATGGTCACATGATGAGTGACATAAGCAGGGATGACCCTAGATCACATGATTTTATGCAATTGATTATGTGATGGTGATCCTCTGGAGCATTCTGTTACATAATTTATCATGTGATTGTGGGAAAATATGCATGTGACTTAATCAATGTCACATGAAAAGGTACAATCATAGATCATCCAACCTATTACATAATGATCACATGTCAGTTTCTCCCCAGAACACTTGGTTATGTAATGGGTCACATGATTGTGAGACAATAGACATGTGACCACTCCTGCAGCATCACATGACAAGGTACAATTATAGATCATGTGACCTGTTATGTAATGATCATGTGGCAATAACTCTCTGAACCATTGGCTTATGTAATAGGTCACATGACTGTACTCATCATGTGATCTCACCTCTAGCGCTCTGCACGTGACTCAATCCATATCACATGGCCAGCAATCCCCCCCTATTTGCATGCTGGGCATTTGTGGCTGTGCTAAAAATGCGAATTGTGTCCCCACCCATTCAATTCTTGACATATGGATCTGAATTTTTGTGTGTAGAATAGGCTACCATGTTGCTACACATTGTCAAAGGCACAGGCTGTCTGGTCCAGTAGTTGCTGAGATATAATGGAAATGAAAATGCCAACACTAGGGTCATCCCTGCTTATGTCACTCATCATGTGACCATTGTTGGAAATACCGGTATATGGTGTTTCTCATTACTGGTTCTAGACTTGCTTATTGGATGAGTTTTACTCATATGATGTCCTGCTTTATAAGTGACTCCACAATGACGTCACTTTACTCCACTTATTCTATGGTGTTCCATGACATTCATTACTTTACATAGTAGGTAGTAACTTTACTTACTAAATGTGTCACCTGGTCTGTGCACATACCTGCATGTATATAAACCAAGGGGTTTCTGCTGTATCCCCTCAGTTCAGTTCACCAAATTAACTGTTCTTCTATCGTCTACAAGCCTCAACAGCTCTACTCAAATACCAAACTACTTTCAATGCTCTATCCAATCATAAAGGCAAGTGCTCGTCTTTAAGCTCTCACCCTTTTTTCCCCTTCCATCCTTGGATTCCTCTGCCAATAGGTTATGAGCCCCGATGTCTAAACCGTCAGTGTGCTATTGTCTTATGTGCATTTACTGATCTTTGGTGATGGCCATATCAGCATGCCATTTGACAGCCCAGATGCGCTAGGATGGAGCATTATTGCTTACATTGTGTCACTTTTGATGGCTTTTTATACTACCATATTTTACTTGTCCCTTGGAGGATAAGGACCTTTTAGGGAGATGTTTGTGTGTTTGGTCGTGTTCTGGACTGCAGCTTTAGCTGGTCCTTTATGGCACAACATTTATCTCTACTGGGTACACACTCGCATAGCTGCTGCCATGGGAGCTGATTTACGTCTTATTCACGACGGTCTTCACCCTCCTATGGTTGAGGCTCCGCCTCCCCATTATCTCCTTCATGCTATTCCTGATCATGATGACAATGCCAACCTCAATCCCGTTCCACCTTACACAATTGACGGAGGAGCTGATCCTCTTCCTCCTTGTCATGAACCAACTCCTCCACAGGAGCTCGTGTTGGCACTCGGTGATGCACTCGCTCAGGCTAATCACCTGATCGCTGAGGTTGATCTCGCTGTTGGTAATGACAACACCGAGTTCAATTTGCTTTTTTAGCTGCATCCCTTGTTATTTATGAACGAAATCTTATGCGTTTCCAATAGCATGTCTCTCGTCATCGCAAAACATACCGAAATCACTATTGCCCACTCTCGTGATGGCATGTATGCTGGGAATAAATGGAGGGAGGAGTATGTGAAGAAAGTCGTTGAATATATGGAGGCATTGTATGTTAGAGATTGTTCCCATTGGTGCTATGCAGTACCCTCTAGTAGATCCTTCTTCATGTGCCCGCAACCACTGCTCGCCCATGTCCCTCTTTCTCAGATTGAGGTGACTTGGGATGGCTTCCCGACTTATCCAGGTATCAACACACTGTTCGAACTCCTGGGCATCCATACTGCCTACCACAGTTACCTTACTGACTTCGCCCCTAAAATTTCCTTCCTTTCCTCTCCTAATGCTATCGCTCACTTCAATGGTTGTGACCTGCCCAGTCTAACCTATGAAGATCCTGCCCTCTGGACCATACTGGCCTCCACAATTTGGAAGGCCATTACAGAGGACTTTGGAGAGAAGGAATTACCAACATCGACTGTGTCCCCCTCTTCTTCAGAGAGTGACGACCCAGGGGACATCTGTTTGACCTCCAATTATTGGAGTTCATCAACAACTTTAAGGCGACTGCAGATATGGACAAAACCTGAACCAGTTACAACAAAACTTGAGGTACTCTTTGGTACCTTGAAGCTACCAGTTACAAACACTTCATTTACTGGCCAGGAACAGAATCGGTTCTGGCTAACCTCGAACATGCGATGGCCTGTGATACTGGGTTGTCTTTCATCCAACCCAGATGTCGTGGATTACTTGCCAGTGCTCTTGCTTGGTCTTGTGCAGCTGCCAAAGTTAAGCACAAATTATCCTCTCCCCAGTACCATGGACGTACCATATGCATCTGCAGGCCGATTCCTCGAGTATCCTGATGGATCTCTCGAACCCTGCCTAGATAGTTTGTACAATGTCTACGAAATCTTAGCTTCTAGGGAGTACAGTAATCAGATTTATGGCTGGTTTCCTTTTCCTTATTCTTGTGCCTCTGAGTGGTTAGGTTTTTTGAACCCCCATTGTCTTCATGAAATGGGCTGGTCATTTTTATCCTACCACTACTTCCCTGACTTGTGCTTCGATTTTCTTGAGTACAATGTTCAGCGAAGTTCTCGCATCGCCGATAGGCATTACGCTGAGAAAGGCATGGAACCAGAGCCAAAAATAAAATGCCGATCACCACATACTCAGAATCGACCCAGACAAAAGTCCCGCACCTGCAAGCGTCGTAAACGCATGTGTACCGTCCTCCAAGGAA